TAGTATAGGGAACAGAACAAAGGACTCTATGTAACTTTTGTTGATTTTCCAAAGCTTTTGATATCATGAGTTGAAAAGGTCTGTAGTAGATTTTGGAATGGTTAGGATGTCTCCCCAAGTTCCTCAAAATGATCATTTTGCTTCATGAGGATCAGCGTGGCCAAGTCAGATATGGTGATGCATTTTCTGAGCCCTTTCTAATAACTAATGGTGTGAAACAAGGCTGTGTTCTTGCACCAACTCTATTCACAATCTTTTTCAGCATGATGCTCCAAAGGGCCACGGCAGACCTCGATGATCAGGACGGTATCTACATTCGATATCATACTGATGGAAGCCTATTCAACCTAAGGTGACTGAAGGCCCACACTAAGACCTTAAACCATCTTGTCCGGGAGCTGCTTTATGCTGATGACGCCGCCCTTGTTGCCCACACAGAAGCAGCTCTGCAGCGTTTAACATCCTGCTTTGCAGAGGCTGCTGAGCTTTTTGGGCTGGAAGTCAGCTTGAAGAAGACAGAAGTTTTCTACCAACCTGCACCTCAGGAAGTTTTCCACCATCCTCACATCATCACTGGCGAATCAGAGCTCAAGTCAGTCCAGCAGTTTAATTATCTGGGAAGCATTATCTTCTCGGACGGTAAGATTAACAAAGAGATAGACAACAGGTTAGCAAAGGCATATAGAGCTTTTGGAAAACTCCATAAAAGAGTTTGGTGTAATAAACACCTAAAGAAAAGCACAAACATCACTGTTTACAGAGCCATTGTGCTGTCTACTCTTTTATATGGGTCCGAATCATGGGTCATTTACCTCCACCACTTGCGACTCTTAGAACACTTCCATCAGCGCTGCCTCCATGCAATCCTAAACATCCACTGGACTGATTACGTGACTAATACATCTGTTCTTGAACAGGCAGCAGTTACAAGTATTGAGGCTGTGTTGCTGAGAACACAGTTGTGTTGGGCAGGACATGTCTCAAGGATGCAGGACCACCGCCTCCTTAAGATTGTGCTCTATGGCGAACTTGCCACTGGCTGCCACAAGACAGGAGCCCCAAAGAGGAGATACAAGGACTTCCTGAAACAATATCTCAGCTTTGGCCATACTGATCATCATCACTGGTCTACTCTGGCCTCCAATCGGGAGACATGGAGATACACTATACATAATGCTGCTGCTTCTTTTGAGAACACACGCAGAATCATTCTTGAGGAGAAAAGAGAACGCAGAAGGAATTGTGTCTTGCCAATACCACCTAAGGAGACTTTCCGCTCTGCCTTTTGCAACCGGACTCGTCTATCTCACATTGGCCTTTTTAGCCATCAGTACGCTTGTAGCAAATGTGTGTAGAATCCTTCTCAAATCTTCGTTTGCGAAGTCAAGCCATGAAGTTACCAATGCAGACCACAGCACTGTGAGGGCTACTATGGAGAAATAAATTCTGGCTCAGCCAGACCCGCCACAGCTATTAATATAATTATTAGAATTGATAAAAAGTTTTCAGAAATTAAACCTTATTTTTTGTTTTCCAGTTCTGCTCAGCTGGAAATTTTCCCTTTTTCTAATCCTTCAGTTCTCCTTTTCTACATTGGGAAAGATATCACTTGTAGCAAGGAATAGCTTTTCATGAAATAGCACCACATTAAAATATAAACATTCAATCTATACTTCTTTAAAAGCCCAAGAATTACACATATGAATCCTTCCTCTTATTTGAAAAGGGCTATAATTCATCATTACTGGTCCTACTTGTATCTGATGGTAGAGCTGAGAAGTTCTTGAGTGAAATAGATAAAATAACTTTCAGAAATGGAGGAACAATGACATTGACTGATTCTCGAGGACTGTTATTCTCACTACCCAGGACATAAAGATAGAGGTGAAATCAACATAATTTCTTCTCGTGGATGCTTTTGAATTACTACCTTAGGCTCACATGGCTCTCCCTCCTGTGAATTTCATCCCACACGGAGCATTCAGGGACCTCACATTCCTAGTTCTGCACAGAAAGCTTGGAAAATCAGTGGCCGTTGATGCCACAGAAGCTGCCACGCTCCTGAAATTAATGTCTTGGTAGAAAAGCACTCAGAGTCCTCCCCAGACAACTGAAGGCAAGTAGGGAAATCTCTGATGAAATGAAGAAATGACAACTACAGTAGCTGATTAATGGCAATATCAGGGGCTTCAGCATCCAGGATCTCCACTCTATCTAGGGATGCAGGTAGGTTTACACTGCCATGACACAATCAGTGCTGCTGTACCTGGGTTAATATACACAACAGCAGCTACCTAGGTTATTACTACGCAAGCTGAGTAAGGTGCACTCACAACTCTGAACTTCAATGCAAGAGTACTCTTCTGATATACTTAGGACACTGTTTATTACTTAATGAAACAAAAATTGGCAGATGCGCAATTTGCATTTGTTTACAGTTCTCATATTTTTAGCGCAAATTAAGCATATTCTTCATCAAGGCATGCCATCAGTTGTATTCCCAGAGGAAAACAAATTAATAGATACGGTTCTTATTTTAAATGCTGATTTCTTGTCAAAAAGATGGCATGACATATCAACTCCAACAAAGTCAGTTTCTCTGATTAGCTTATTTTGTTCCCTCCCCCTCCATTGTAATATCTGATTGACTTAATGGCTCACTTAAGAAAATAAAAGCAATTAAACGTCTTTTTTTTTCTTTCTAAAGTATCTATCACAACTGTTTAGTTAGGAATTATTTCTTGTTAACGTTAATTTTTGCATTCCTATTCCTATACTTCAGTCACTGGGTTTGAGCTAATGACAGAATAATATTCAGAGAAAAATGGAACTGATTGGGTTGACTGAATGACACTACATCTATTCTGTACTGATAAGTAGTATATTTATAAAGCAAATGGCTTTATAAATAGGAGGAGAGACTACACAAATCCAGGAATATAGATTTTTTATTTCATGGAATGAAAAGGGATCAAAATATTTGGCCGTGAAATGGAAGAAGTAGTCATGGAGAAACTAGTACCTCTCCATAATTAGAAATTATGAAATTCACATTCCCAGTGCTTAAGAAATTGTAAGCTTTACAGATCAACAGCTAGACTGAATTAAAAGAAATACTTCACTCCTTTTTTTCAGTGCAAGGACCATTGACTACCTCTCCTGAAATGTCCCGAGAAGCCTTTTCATTGGTGTTATTTCATGCTTTCAGACAGATTTTTAACTAAAAGTTCATTTCAGATATATTTTGTTTTGTTATTAGGAAGAGAAATCACATAGTATGTCCCAAAAGAGTGCACTGAGATAATCCACCTTTGTATTTTATTACTATACTGTGATTTTCACAAAAAAAAAAGCATTAGAAGTTATTTTGATCTACTGAATAATGATGACAAAAATAATTTAAAAGAGATTTCTTAAAAGGGCAAACTCAGCAAACAGTAAAATAAAAAAAATTAAAAATATAAATAAGTCAAAATATTTGAAGCACTATCATTACAAAGAATCAAAGTTTACTGGAAAAAATATTCACATACTACTACAGTTATAATGTTAGGATCAGGACTGGAAATAACAAAGCTACATAACACGTTCTGTAAATTTCTTAGTTGACTCAATGCAATGGCTTGCATTATGTTGGCAGTGCTATAGCTATCCATCAGATAATCCTAAGTATTACTGTTATTTTACCTAAAACATATGGGGACCATATTACACATTTAGGAATTAAAAGTACATTGCCAAAGCATCAGTGCACATCTCTTGAAAAAGGCTATTCTAACCAGCAGATGTGATATTCTCTATATATGTGCAAGTTTCTACATACATGCTGCTACTATTTTGTACCTTCTCTTAGATATTTGTCATTTTTCAGTTAGAAATTTGGAACACAATAATTATTGATCTGATAACTCCTAAGTTGCATAGAATAACTTCCTCCTCCTCCCCACCTTTTATACTTCCTAAGCACATGTGAAAGGATATTTTTTTTAGTTAGTGATCAAGATTCAAAAGAGAAAGGGAGAAACAGTTTACAAAATTAACCTACGTTTGCAATATTTTACTTGTTTTACTTACTGCAAAACTAAGTACTTACTACATCTTATGAATTTGTCAACTAGATTCAGCTGTAGAGGTATTCTGGGGAGGTGTTTGCTGTCTCAAGACAGTGGGATCAAGACAACGTAATTTATTTTACAATAGTAGATTGGCCTTTGTAAAATAATGACTTTGAAACACTGATTAAGGTGCAATTCAACTGCTGTTTCCCTTCTTTCTAATTTAATTCATCTTATGTTGAAGAGTTGTACATTATATTATAAAAGAAGAATTCAAATCTGAACACGCTCTGATGACAGAAAAAGGAATACAAACCATCCTTTGCAATTAGGGCATGCACCATGAGAAGGTACATTAAAACTGCATTACCTACTGTAACAAAGTGTCCTCCAGCATATCTGCAAATACAATTTTCTCCCATTTTCAAATACTTTTAGACTGTCAGAATGAAGTGAAGTAGCTTTAGCTTCTAGGATTGAAGTTTGACAATGGTAAAAGTGCCAAAAGTTTTCTTCCAAGATAACCTTAGATATTCTTGGCAGCTATAGGTACTGAACTCAGGTTTTATTCATTGATTTAAGGACAACTTGGCTTTAGTTGTAATGTATGCCCCTTTGGAAACCAACACTTTGTTTCAATTTGGTCACAGTCAAACAACTGATTTGAACTTGGAAAATATTTTGATCACAACATTTTTTCCCATTACAAAATCATTATATAGTTATTAGCATGAAACACATTATTTTTATTGTCACCCAGCTGTTTTCAGAGATAAGGTATTTATGCATGGTCTGACCCCTAAATTCAGAACATTATGTCCTTGTAGCATTGCAATTAAAAAAAAAAGGTTGTTAGGAATGCCTTTTAGATGACTTAAAAGAAAAAATAACCATGTAGATAAAGAATGAGTAAACCACTTTAATTTGTTCTGAACTCATGTATACCTGAACGCATAGCATCTTTTTGAATGCTTTCATAATCATGCCAGTCCTTCCTTTTTAAGCCATCAGTCCAGGCAAAGAGCTGTCCATCTCCCAGCCCCAATGGAAGTGTCTGTGGAAACAGTAAATAAACAAATAAATAAACATATACATACATATGTGTCTTGCATTATTACAGAGGAACAGTCAAGCAAATAAAACATTCAGCTTATTGAATACAAATATTGAAACTTTACTGTGGTAAATGAAGTACCTTGATTTTTTCCTTAAACTACCACTCAAGCAAAATTGGAGTTATATTTACTCTGTACCTTTCAATGTTTCCCTTTAATTTTTTTTTATTTTTTCAGTACTTGCTGTTGAGTTATTGGTATTTACACAAGGTCAAAAAACTGCATCAAAGACACAGAGCAAAGAGATCCCCCAAACACTTTCAAATCTCGTAGATCTTTCTTCACGATAAGTGATAAGGGGTAAAAAACAAACACACACCACCACAAAATACCCAGAAAAAAAACCCCCATATGACATCTAGTTGGTAAGATGACTTCCTCTTTCCAGACTCCTGATTCTTGGGTAAAGCTAAGAACTGCCTTTTGCTTCTAGGTGAAATTATCTTTCTAGAGCTTTTATTTTCATCATTCTTTCTGCCAAATGTTAGTATTTTTATGAAAAATAAGAATCGAAAAGTCCCATTAGAAGTACATGAAATGTAGATCTGTAGGAAGTAGCACAAAGCTGCAGCAGGTTTCAAATAAAGTTAGGCTTTTCTAAATGCTTTATTTACAAAAATTGTGGTAAAAGTGGACAAAATTTGACAAGCAAAGAAGACGACTGAATCAGTAGGTTTGAATCAGCAAACTGTTCAGAATAAAGAGCAGATATATAACGCATGTTAGAAACATTGTTATCAAAGTTCTGTGAAAACACACTTGAAAAGCAGTTCCAGGGACGCAACATCTGATCAACCTTCTAACAGGAAAAACTGAAAGCTCTACAAAAATCTTATGCATATGTAACAGTGATACTTTGCCCTTCATGTATCAAGTCTGTAAACCCAAAGAGCATTGGACTCACCCATTTGCCATTCCTGATTTTACACTACTGGCTGCACAAAACTGGATGACACTCACTGCCTCAAAGTGAAATTGTCCCAGCATGCTGAGCTAGGGTTTCTGTTTTTAGGAGAGACAAATATCTGCCAAGCTACATGGTGCAGATGTGGTCACTAAGCCATCCTTAAAACTGAGGTTCTAAGGCTTTTGAATTTGTAAGCAAGACGTGAGGAATGCCAGGCATGACTGGTTACCTTTAAGCAAAGGATGCTAGAAATCCTGGCTGACAAAGATTCATGCTGAAAAGCTCTGCTTTGGGTCAGATGAGAATGTTGGATATTCAGGGCAAAGTGGTGTGAACTCAGTGGTCTCCAATAAATCCCTGAGATACCAAGAAAAATCCATCACATCCTGCTAGCATGACCTACATTTTTTAGTCTTAATATCAAAGGTAATTTATGTTACATAATCCCAAAATGCAATCCAGTCTGTGGTTATTTTTCTATTAAAACTTTTGCAGACATATTCCAAGAAAACACTGTTGTCTCTGTATTTTAATATAATACAAGTCAGAAATTCACACCTGGAAGAATCAAAGAACTTAATATATCCTGATAAAATATTTCAGGTTATCAAAATATCTAACCTTTCATGTTCTTGAAATAAACTCACTAAATTCAGTAAGTCTTGAGTTCAAACAATGCTAATGTTCTAATAGTAATACAAAACTGCTTGCTTTTTAAAGTCAGAAGCATAAGGTAGGACACAGGCTGCAAGAGCGTTAATCATGATTCTGTAGCCCAAATTCCTAAAATCATCTACTCTGAAGCAGGCCCAGACAGATTCAATTAAACTTCTATCTCTTGTCAGTATGGGTACAGCTGGTGTCAATCATTTGGTCCCAAAAAATCAAGACTATCAAAACTATCAAAAGCAGGATAAACTTTACTTTTGTGACTCTTTTTTCCTATGATGGCTTCTTTCCCTAAAAACAGTGATCTAAATGGCAAGTCTGCAGGACAATGAAAGACAGCTGAATAGTAGAGTTTAGAGGTTTCTGGTTTGTCTATTTGCATTTTGATGCCATTAGTCTTTCATTAGTTACATGTAGTTACTTTACCTGATAACATTTACAAGTCTAACGTACCAGGAGGCCCTCTTGCAAGCATAATACAGTTAAACAAATACATTTACTAAAATTAATATAGCAAAAGGATAAATATACATCCAAATATTGTGCAATACACAAAAAGCTCACACAAATCATGCTGTGGCTCATATTTTGGAAAGGTAACAGTGCCCTAAGAGGACATAAGAAATTAACAAATCCAAAACCCTCGTGTTGGTGCCATCATAAGTCCCTGTTTAACAACTGAGTTTTGATTGGATTATTGAGATTTTTTTGTAATAAGTCCCTTAACTCCCTCACATCATACCATGGTGACTTTTCAGTTCTAACACTCTTTCAATATAAGGGGAATTAAATACAATGCTCTCGCATGTCACTTCTTAACTAGTATTCAGAGAGCATAATCTCAATGAGGACTGAACATTGTGACATTTACAGGGACTGGACTTCATGAAACTCACCCTGTGTGCACAGTTTTACCTCTGCAGTGAGCATAGAACAGGGATTAGGAAGGGATGTCGAGTTTCACAGCCAAATTTTCTGGAAAGAGCAGGAGTTTTGCAGTGCAAATTCTATAGCTCTGAAGAGATCAGAACTGCCTTTACTCCCTTGCCAGCAACTGAAGGATTGTTTTTCTTTTTTTTTCTTTCCCTTTTTTTTTTTTTTTTACGTTGCTGTATTATTTAAGGAGATACAAATGCACTTCAGAAAACGGATTCCTCCATTTCACTTCTGCCTAAGGGTAAACAAATTGCATTTTCAAAGACCCTAAAACACAGTTTCTGGAATGTTTTAAAACTGCTAAAAGGCTCCATTGTAAAACTCTAAGTATGCTCACATGCCTCTTTTCCAGATGATAATGACTAGAAGAGCTCCCATTTCTAAAGCATTTCTAGCTGTTAAGTAAGGAAAAGAAAAAAAAAACCTAATAAAAAAAATTGTAATATTCTTATTCTAGTTCTCCAACTTTTTGGATACATTGACAATTTAAACTATATTCTATCTTGCATCAAGTTGGCAGGGCTGATCAGGAGGGCTTTAAACTAGGTTTGAAGGGGGAAGGGATTGAAACTAGGCTCTCAAGATAGGAGCCTAAGGGTGAAAAGCCTGAGTTAAGAGTGAAATCAGCAGCCCAGCTGAAGTGCATGTACACCAGTGCACACAGCATGAGTAACAAACAAGAGGAGCTGGAAGCCATTGTGCAGCAGGAAAGCTATGATGTAGTCACCATCACGGAAACATGGTGGGATGACTCGCATGACTGGAGTGCTGCCATGGGTGGCTACAGGCTCTTCAGAAGGGATAGACAAGGTAGGAGAGGTGGAGGGGCGGCTCTATATGTTAGAGAGTCTCTTGACACTGTGGAACTTCAAGTCAGCAACAATAAGGTTGAGTGCCTGTGGATCAAAATCAGGGGGAAGGCCAACAAGGCTGACATTCTGGTGGGAGTCTGTTACAGAGCACTCAATCAGGATGATGAGGGTGATGAATTATTCTATAAGCAGCTGGCGGATGTCTCAAAATCACCAGCCCTTGTTCTCATGGGTGACTTTAACCTGCTGGATGTCTGCTAGGAACTCCACACAGTGGAGAAGAGGCAGTCTAGGAGATTCCTAGAGTATAAAGAGGATAATTTCCTGCTCCAGCTGGTAAATGAGCCTACCAGGGATGGGGCCTCGCTAGGCCTTCTGTTCACAGAGAGGGGCTGGTGGGAGATGTGGTGGCTGGAGGTCGTATGGGGCACAGTGACCATAAAATAATAGAGTTTTCAATACTCAGGGATGCAAAGAGGGCCATCAATAAAACCTCTGTGCTGGACTTCCGGAGGGCAGATTTTGGCCTATTTAGAAGACTAGTCCAGAGTGTACCCTGGGAAACAACCTTTGAAAACAAAGGGGTCCAGGAGGGATGGACATACTTCAAGAAGGAAGTCTTGAACACACAGGAGGAGCAGGCTGTCCCAGTCTGCCAAAAGTCAAGTTGGTGGGGAAGACAACCGGTCTGGTTGAACAGGGAGATTTTGAAGGAAATTAGGAGGAAAAGGAGAGCCTACCAATCACGGAAAAAAGGGCTGGCTACTCAGGAAGAGTTTAGGAATATAGTTAGGTCACGTAGAAAGAAAATTAGAGAGAAGAAGGCATAACTTGAACTTAATCTCACCACTTCTGTGAAGGATAACAAAAAGTCCTTCTACAGGTATATCAAGAGTAAAAGGAGGGGCAAGGAAAACCTCCATTCTTTATTGGACATGGGTGGGAATATAGTTATCAAAGATGAGGAAGGTCATCTGGGGAGGTCCCAGATGACTAGAAGTTGGTAAATGTCACACCAATCCACAAAAAGGGCCGGAAGGAGCACCCAGGAAACTACAGGCCCGTTAGCCTGACCTCAGTGCCTGGAAAGGTTATGGAGCAGATCATCCTAAGTGCAATCACACAGCACCTACAGGATGGACAAGGGATCAGATCCAGCCAGCACGAGTTTAGGAAGGGCAGGTCCTGTCTGACCAACCTGATCTCCTTTTACAATCAGGTGACCCACCTGGTGGATGAAGGGAAGGCTGTGGGTGTAGTCTACCTGGACTTCAGCAAAGCCTTTGACACCATCTCCCACAGCATATTCCTGGAAAAGCTGTCGGCCCACGGCTTGGACAGGGGCACTCTGTGCTGGGTCAGGAACTGGCTGGAGGGCCAGGCCCAGAGAGTGGTGGTGAACGGTGCTGCATCCAGCTGGCGGCCGGTCACTAGTGGTGTCCCCCAGGGATCAGTGTTGGGCCCAGCTCTGTTTAATATCTTTATCAATGATTTAGATGAGGGGATTCAGTCCACCATCAGCAAATTTGCAGATGACACTAAGTTGGGGGGGAATGTTGATCAGCTGGAAGGAAGGAGGGCTCTGCAGAGGGACCTGGACAGGCTGGAGAGCTGG